TGAAGATCATATGGACAAATACAATTTTATATGTATTGTCATCTAGTATAAAAAATTTCTGTGTGAACAGAAATAACAATCGGAACGGGAACGGTGAAGACATCATTGATGCTACCATATTACCAGATGATCGGGAGCCAACGCAAGACCAGAAGGAACCCCTCCAAGTGCAAATCGACGAATTGCGATTATAATTGGTCGGACTAAAGAATCTGAACAATGATCTTCAGGAGCAAGTCGACGATTTGAAGACCCATGCAAGATGCTGTAAATGCGGAGCTATGAATGGATTATTCTAATATCTTTTTTTTTCATTATTCTTATATAAGAATAACTAACGTTCAGAAACAAAAAATAGCATTTCGATTAATCTTTTTTCATTTATTATTATTGGTGATCACGACAAAAAAAAATCGTACAAAATTCATTTTGTAAAACCAGATCATTCTCAGTGAGGAATCAGATTACTTTTCCGCACACACCTAGTGTGTAAGGTATTGGAATCGGTCGAAAGATTAACACCCATCAAAAATGTGTTTTATGGGTGTTTTTGGGGCCAGGGAATACGAATCTAGCGTTTTTTCGATGTCCGAATGCATGTGCGATTGTGCGTACTCTGGACCCTGAAAAATTTGTTAACACGATAACTTTCAAACAAGAAAAGTAATTCAAAATCTGACTTCACAGGATGATTGGGGGTGCCGAGGAATAGCAACCATTAGACTTTGAGAAAATTTGGTTGATAGAGTGAAGTGCCATGTCTGGTATGATGCCCATGGGAAAAATTCAATTTTTCCTCCAAAAGTGATATTTAATCTATTCTTAAACACTCAAAAATATGTATTGAGAGGTTTTTTGGTACGAGAAAACTGAATAATACAGTGAATCTAATATTTTTGGTAGACAAAATTTTGCATGACACACTCCACTCACACTCCATTCGTATATGAATCCTATGTTAGTGGAGAGTTTCTCTGCTTACTTTGCTTGTTACACTGTAGTAACGTAGTTTTGCGCGAGAGAGTTGGTATATCAGGCGTTGTAGAGGGGCCCGAGTGTAGTCAAGCCTCATACTTCGTTTTGTAAAGTTGGCTCATTTTAGAAAAAAAATTGACTTGATAGTTCTGCTCTGAAGGCTCATTTTGGAGTGAATTTTTTTTTAATTCAAATGTGCTGAAAATTGGTATATAGGGGTTTTTGGGCATGAGAAAGCCAAATCTGGCCTTTATTTTACGATACAATAACGTTTTGATACGATTCCCATACAAAAAGTAGCCAAAATGACAAAAAAAACGTTAAAAATGTATATTTTTGATAGAAACCATGTATTTTTGGTATCGAAATGGCTTGAAAGTTGTTCATAAACGCATAAATTGAATGAAAAATAACTCTAGTAAGATTTTAATACGTTTTTTTTTTTTTAAAAAGTATTGCGTTCAAACAAAATTTTCTTTATTTTTCATATCATAAACAGAAACTTACTGAATTTTATGATTATTATTCTATTTTTCATTTAACAATGAGTTTCATTCTATGTTTTTTAACGAAATTCCTATTTGAATTTAGTAACAAAAAATTCCGGTTGGAGGCGTTACATATACAGTGCGTTTATGAGGCATTCATTCCAATATGACATTTTAGTTGTCAAATATGTTTGGTTGAATATTCTCGATTGGATAGATATACGGTGAAACGCATAATTCCCAACATATTTTCGATTACAAGTTTAAATAAAAACAATAAAAATGGCAGATTCAGAAAGTAAACACCGTGAAAAATTGGATATGTTTTGTTACGTGTGCGGAAAATATACTGTGAAAGAAAACAGACGACATTTGACCGGTATTGCAGAAGATGCATACAAATTCTACTTCGGTAAATCGGTATTTAGAAACGTTTCGTGGGCCCCTGAGTTTACTTGCCCTGCGTGCATTAGTTCTTTGGAACGATGGTGGAAAAAAAATTCGTTTTCGTTACATTTTGCAACGCCAATGGAATGGTCCGATCCCGGCACACATCGTCAAGAAAATTGTTACGTTTGCGCAAATGATATGTATGGCATCAATCGAATTAAGGCAAAAAAATGGATTTATCAAGGTGTAGCCAGTGCAATGGTTCCAACACCACATGATGATGAACATCCAGTTCCCCAACATCCAACACAAATCGACTTTTCTACGGCTTCGGTAAGCTATCTACCACCATCGGAACCAACTGATCCTGCTGATCCAGACTACGTTCAACCTCCGGCTTTTTGTTTTCCGTCATTGATTTCACAAGAACATTTGGATCGTATTGTTCGGAAATTGCATTTGTCGCAAAATAATGCAATGACATTGGCTTCTGAATTGAGAAGCGTTCATGTATTGGCTCCTTGTGTGAAAGTGACAGAATATCGACATCGACAAGAACCATTTTTGCCGTATTACACACTCTCTGAAGACGGCACATACACATTTTGTCACGATATCGTTGGTTTGATGAATGCAATTGGTGTAAAATATGAAAAAGAAAAATGGCGCATTTTTATTGACTCATCAAAAAGAAGTTTGAAGGCTGTCTTGCTATATGAGAACAGTACTATAAAACCAGTACCAATTTTTTACGGAGTCGGCACGAAAGAAACTGATGATTCGATGGAAATGATCATAAACTCAGTCAACTACAATGAACACATGTGGCGTGTCAATTGTGATTTCAAAGTACTTTGTTAACTGGACTCAATAAAGCATATTGTAAATACTGTTGCCCCTTTTGTAAATGGGACAGTAGATGGAAGGGTGGAAATCATTATGATAAAAAAAATTGGCCATTGCGGACCGAGCGTGGACGAGTTGGTTACTACAGCATTGTTCGTAAACCAATCATTGAACGATCAAAAGTTATGATTCCAAATTTGCATATAAAATTAGGTATTGTGAAAAGTTTCATCAAAACGTTGGTTGCCACAAACATTACCGCATTTAACCACCTAAAGGACAATGTATTCCCGAAACTAACTGTTGGGAAAATCACTGAAGGTAAATGAAATTTATACATTACATAAATTTAATATTGTGAACACTTGAAAAAATGATTGTTAAATGTTCATAGGCGTACTGAATGGACCCGATATCAGAAAATTGCTTAAAGATGAACGATTTGTTGAATGCTTGAGCCGACATCAAGCCATTGCGTGGGACTCAATCAAAGCCGTTCTAAATGATGTTTTGGGTAACAATCGGACCGAGAATTATCGCGTTCTGCTAGACGATATGATGGATTCATTCAAACAACTAGATGTCCACATGTCGTTGAAAATACATGTTCTTCATGCTCATTACGAGTTTCTCGATATGCAAAAGCCAACCGAATCAGATGAGCCGGGCGAACGGTTCCATCAGACCATCATGGAATTTGAAAACCGCTTTGCAGGAAAACGATTGGACTCAATGCTTGCTGATTTTTGTTGGTGGATTTCACATGACCAAATTAGAGTCTAGAGTCAAATTCACTTAATTTAATACTTCATTTAATTCATTTTTTTTTCAAACAAAATCGAGATAATTGAATATATAAAATACCAATTAATAAGCATTTTCACTCATTGTTCAATGAAAAATTTAATAAAAAAGTCATAAATTTGAATAAAATCAATATATCTCTTTATGTAACACACAGTGTTCAACATGAAAATTGAAAAATAAAGAAAATTTTGTTTGAACGCAATACTTTTTTTAAAAAAAAAACGTATTAAAATCTTACTAGAGTTATTTTTCATTCAATTTATGCGTTTATGAACAACTTTCAAGCCATTTCGATACCAAAAATACATGGTTTCTATCAAAAATATACATTTTTAACGTTTTTTTGTCATTTTGGCTACTTTTTGTATGGGAATCGTATCAAAACGTTATTGTATCGTAAAATAAAGGCCAGATTTGGCTTTCTCATGCCCAAAAACCCCTATATACCAATTTTCAGCACATTTGAATTAAAAAAAAATTCACTCCAAAATGAGCCTTCAGAGCAGAACTATCAAGTCAATTTTTTTTCTAAAATGAGCCAACTTTACAAAACGAAGTATGAGGCTTGACTACACTCGGGCCCCTCTACAACGCCTGATATTCCAACTCTCTCGCGCAAAACTACGTTACTACAGTGTTAATTAATTAGTGAAAATTTGTGACGCAATTTTTAGAAATTGTGACTCACCAGAAAAATAAAATGTCTTACATCCGTAAGATGAACTTTTCCGCACTGTGATCCACGACATGAAAGAAAACTAAATCTGACATTAGTTTTAGATAAAAATAATTTTCGAAGCACTTTTCTTACAAAAACTACTAAAGATGGGAATTTTTGTATCGGAGCCATGCCTATATGATATCGTAATCATGTGAAAATTTGCAGAGGTTATTTTTTTCACAAAAAGTTAACATTCTGAAAGTTTGAAGAAATTTCAATGCATATTAAGGGTACTTCCCATACAAAATTTCGTTTTAGAGCGAAAAATCCAAAATATTGTTCGGGAGGTGCCCCTAATATTCGTTGAAATGTCTTCAAACTCTCGGAATAGTATTTATGTGTGATAAAAATAACCTGTGCAAAGTTTCAGCTCATTACGATATCATACAGGCATGGCTTCCATACAAAAATCCAAATTTTTTGAATTTTTTGTATGAAAAGTGTTTCGAAAGTTGATTGTATCGCAAAACTAACGTCATATTCGGTTTTCTCGTACCCAAAAACCCCCCAATACACATTTTTGAGTGTTTAAGAATACATTAAATATCACTTTTGGAAGAAAAATTGAATTTTT